GGGTTTTCAGCGAACTTATTTCTAACCGGTGACCAAACGTATGTGCTGTAAAACGAACTATTAAAATAGTATGCGTGTTTATCATTCAAATATATTCTCCATGAAAAAGGTAAACGACAAAATTACTTTTCATACTCCTTTGGTAGCAAACTACGCCTTCTTTAAATTTATACTTAAAGAAAAGGTATCTTTTCGTTTAAGTATAATTTCTACTTATGAACCTTTTCATGATTGTGGGGTGTTCATTCATAACACATCGTATCCGTCAATTCACTAATGCTGCCTATACTGTAAAAAGCATGCTCCGCATATTTTGCAACATTTTATGAGAACTATGTGAATTCTTCCTAAAATTGTACTCGAAAACGTATATTACCTTAAACATGATGTACACAGTGCGCAAGTTAAAAACTTTGAATTCGAGTGTAGCAGTCAGTAGCTTTCACAATTATTCAACAACTTAGGAACTTTAAATTTGCGAAAATTCCCATTGAAAATGTCAAAAGATAAATTGGCGAACATACGTTTTTTTGATAAATTCTCGTCAGGTCCCAACTCCCACTCCCCTTCTCCCCCCCCTCCCCACCGACCGTGACAAGGTAACACTTCATATTTCCGCCAACCACCATAGTTTATTTATTTCATAACCATAAATACCTGAAGGGAATTTATCGAAAACTTAGAAACTCTTTTAAAACCGAATGATACTTTTTCTTTAAGCATACAATTTAAATGAGGTGTAATTTTCTACCAACTGAGTACATAAAAAATATTTTCATGCATGTTTTCCATAAAATATATTTTAAATCAAAAAGGCAGTCAAAATCAATGATTAAAATGCATGCTAATTAAGTAGCCACTTCTTTCATTACACACGTTTTGTAAGTGTTCAGAAGGGAGCTCATTAAAACAGCAGTATCATATCGTGCATAAATTGACTTCAGAATGAGCCATAGAATAATCAATATTACAACCTTACTCAATTCTGATTAGCGAAAGAGTATCAATATTTGACGTGTGTTGGCATGTTGCACGAATTCTGGCATGTACTATACTTACCTACCTATGACTCTCTACAGTCGCTCACACATTCTTCCTTTTATGTGGTTTACGCTAAAGAAAAGTGTCCCCGTTACAACAACCAACCGTATATGACAGATTTTGTGCAGCAGCATGTGGAACGGCTCTCTGAACTCAAGATTACTCTGCCCTATGACAAATTCACTGAAACAGATTTCTCGATGGGTTTTGACAGACCGGGATTCTGCGAAGATTATGTCTACGTGACCACATGCCGTGAAGGTGGCTTTATGCAGTTTTCTTGCAAAATCAATTTCCCAACAGTCCAAATTGTGTTTCTTCGGAAGGTAACATAATCCCATTTTGCGTGGTTTTTTATATACAATTAATGATTATAGTCTCCTATTTGTTAGCATTCGTTTTCACTTTTAGAAGTTGATCCGGTGGTCGCCTTCGATACTTGACGAAATGAGACTGGCATTGGTGAACGTCAGCGCAAAAGCAGAAGTAAACATTATCATCGAGTATGGGAGGTTTGCCGCGATGCACGTTGCCAAACTTAATTTTCTAAATCTGCTTGATGAACTCCTGGAGACCGTCAAAGGAATCCAGACGTCCCCATGGAGAACATATGCCATTGAAGTGGTTCAATGTTTAGCCAGCCGGGCCTATTTGCAGCAATATTCGGCTAAATGTTACACCTGACACCTCCTACAGTCTCCCACCTGACACGACGTTGGTAAGTCCTCGAGTTGTACAGTTTGGGACCAAATAAATAGTGGATGTGTGTTTTCTTTGTTTTTCACTTCTGCTGTGTAGGTGGCTGTGGCAACGCCACTTATGGCAACAAAAGTTAAAACGATATGCGACGACGTGACATGAACGTGCACTTGCCATTGGACAATAGGCCGCTAGCGTCTGTTAACACCTTGCATC